AGTTGCACGTGTTGGTGACTCAGCTGCACGTGTTGGTGACTCAGCTTCACGTGTTGGTGACTCAGCTGCACGTGTTGGTGACTCAGCTTCACGTGTTGGTGACTCAGCTTCATGTGTTGGTGACTCAGCTTCACGTGTTGGTGACTCAGCTTCACGTGTTGGTGACTCAGCTGCACGTGTTGGTGACTCAGCTTCACGTGTTGGTGACTCAGCTTCACGTGTTAGTGACTCAGCTTCACGTGTTGGTGACTCAGCTTCATGTGTTGGTGACTCAGCTTCACGTGTTGGTGACTCAGCTTCACGTGTTGGTGACTCAGCTTCACGTGTTGGTGACTCAGCTGCACGTGTTGGTGACTCAGCTGCACGTGTTGGTGACTCAGCTTCACGTGTTGGTGACTCAGCTTCATGTGTTGGTGACTCAGCTTCACGTGTTGGTGACTCAGCTTCACGTGTTGGTGACTCAGCTGCACGTGTTGGTGACTCAGCTTCATGTGTTGGTGACTCAGCTTCACGTGTTGGTGACTCAGCTTCACGTGTTGGTGACTCAGCTGCACGTGTTGGTGACTCAGCTTCACGTGTTGGTGACTCAGCTTCACGTGTTAGTGACTCAGCTTCACGTGTTGGTGACTCAGCTTCATGTGTTGGTGACTCAGCTTCACGTGTTGGTGACTCAGCTTCACGTGTTGGTGACTCAGCTTCACGTGTTGGTGACTCAGCTTCACGTGTTGGTGACTCAGTTGCACGTGTTGGTGACTCAGCTGCACGTGTTGGTGACTCAGCTTTACGTGTTGGTGACTCAGCTGCACGTGTTGGTGACTCAGCTTCACGTGTTGGTGACTCAGCTTCATGTGTTGGTGACTCAGCTTCACGTGTTGGTGACTCAGCTTCACGTGTTGGTGACTCAGCTGCACGTGTTGGTGACTCAGCTTCACGTGTTGGTGACTCAGCTTCACGTGTTAGTGACTCAGCTTCACGTGTTGGTGACTCAGCTTCATGTGTTGGTGACTCAGCTTCACGTGTTGGTGACTCAGCTTCACGTGTTGGTGACTCAGCTTCACGTGTTGGTGATTCAGCTGCACGTGTTGGTGACTCAGCTGCACGTGTTGGTGACTCAGCTTCACGTGTTGGTGACTCAGCTTCACGTGTTGGTGACTCAGCTTCACGTGTTGGTGACTCAGCTGCACGTGTTGGTGACTCAGCTTCACGTGTTGGTGACTCAGCTTCACGTGTTGGTGACTAAGCTTCACGTGTTGGTGACTCAGCTTCACGTGTTGGTGACTCAGCTTCACGTGTTGGTGACTCAGCTTCACGTGTTGGTGACTCAGCTTCACGTGTTGGTGACTCAGCTGCACGTGTTGGTGACTCAGCTTCACGTGTTGGTGACTCAGCTTCACATTTTGGTGACTCAGCTTCATGTGTTGGTGACTCAGCTGCACGTGTTGGTGACTCAGCTTCACGTGTTGGTGACTCAGCTTCACGTGTTGGTGACTCAGCTTCACGTGTTGGTGACTCAGCTTCACGTGTTGGTGACTCAGCTTCACGTGTTGGTGACTCAGCTGCACGTGTTGCTGACTCAGCTTCACGTGTTGGTGACTCAGCTTCACGTGTTGGTGACTCAGCTTCATGTGTTGGTGACTCAGCTGCACGTGTTGGTGACTCAGCTTCACGTGTTGGTGACTCAGCTTCACGTGTTGGTGACTCAGCTTCACGTGTTGGTGACTCAGCTTCACGTGTTGGTGACTCAGCTTCACGTGTTGGTGACTCAGCTTCACGTGTTGGTGACTCAGCTTCACGTGTTGGTGACTCAGCTTCACGTGTTGGTGATTCAGCTTCACGTGTTGGTGTCTCAGCTTCACGTGATGGTGACTCAGCTTCACGTGTTGGTGACTCAGCTTCACGTGTTGGTGTCTCAGCTTCACGTGTTGGTGACTCAGCTTCACGTGTTGGTGACTCAGCTTCACGTGTTGGTGACTCAGCTTCATGTGTTGGTGACTCAGCTTCACGTGTTGGTGATTCAGCTTCACGTGTTGGTGTCTCAGCTTCACGTGATGGTGACTCAGCTTCACGTGTTGGTGACTCAGCTTCACGTGTTGGTGTCTCAGCTTCACGTGTTGGTGACTCAGCTTCACGTGTTGGTGACTCAGCTTCACGTGTTGGTGACTCAGCTTCACGTGTTGGTGACTCAGCTTCACGTGTTGGTGACTCAGCTTCACGTGTTGGTGTCTCAGCTTCACGTGTTGGTGTCTCAGCTTCACGTGTTGGTGTCTCAGCTTCACGTGTTGGTGACTCAGCTTCACGTGTTGGTGACTCAGCTTCACGTGTTGGTGACTCAGTTTCACGTGTTGGTGACTCAGCTTCACGTGTTGGTGACTCAGCTGCACGTGTTGGTGACTCAGCTTCACGTGTTGGTGACTCAGCTTCACGTGTTGGTGACTGAGCTGCACGTGTTGGTGACTCAGCTGCACGTGTTGGTGACTCAGCTTCACGTGTTGGTGACTCAGCTGCACGTGTTGGGGACTCAGCTTCACGTGTTGGTGACTCAGCTTCACGTGTTGGTGACTCAGCTGCACGTGTTGGTGACTCAGCTTCACGTGTTGGTGACTCAGCTTCACGTGTTGGTGACTCAGCTTCACGTGTTGGTGACTCAGCTTCACGTGTTGGTGACTCAGCTTCACGTGTTGGTGACTCAGCTTCACGTGTTGGTGACTCAGCTGCACGTGTTGGTGACTCAGCTTCACGTGTTGGTGACTCAGCTTCACGTGTTGGTGACTCAGCTTCATGTGTTGGTGACTCAGCTGCACGTGTTGGTGACTCAGCTTCACGTGTTGGTGACTCAGCTTCACATGTTGGTGACTCAGCTTCACGTGTTGGTGACTCAGCTTCACGTGTTGGTGACTCAGCTTCACGTGTTGGTGACTCAGCTTCACGTGTTGGTGACTCAGCTTCACGTGTTGGTGACTCAGCTTCACGTGTTGGTGATTCAGCTTCACGTGTTGGTGTCTCAGCTTCACGTGATGGTGACTCAGCTTCACGTGTTGGTGACTCAGCTTCACGTGTTGGTGTCTCAGCTTCACGTGTTGGTGACTCAGCTTCACGTGTTGGTGACTCAGCTTCACGTGTTGGTGACTCAGCTTCATGTGTTGGTGACTCAGCTTCACGTGTTGGTGATTCAGCTTCACGTGTTGGTGTCTCAGCTTCACGTGATGGTGACTCAGCTTCACGTGTTGGTGACTCAGCTTCACGTGTTGGTGTCTCAGCTTCACGTGTTGGTGACTCAGCTTCACGTGTTGGTGACTCAGCTTCACGTGTTGGTGACTCAGCTTCACGTGTTGGTGACTCAGCTTCACGTGTTGGTGACTCAGCTTCACGTGCTGGTGTCTCAGCTTCACGTGTTGGTGTCTCAGCTTCACGTGTTGGTGTCTCAGCTTCACGTGTTGGTGACTCAGCTTCACGTGTTGGTGACTCAGCTTCACGTGTTGGTGACTCAGTTTCACGTGTTGGTGACTCAGCTTCACGTGTTGGTGACTCAGCTGCACGTGTTTGGTGACTCAGCTTCACGTGTTGGTGACTCAGCTTCACGTGTTGGTGACTCAGCTGCACGTGTTGGTGACTCAGCTGCACGTGTTGGTGACTCAGCTTCACGTGTTGGTGACTCAGCTGCACGTGTTGGGGACTCAGCTTCACGTGTTGGTGACTCAGCTTCACGTGTTGGTGACTCAGCTGCACGTGTTGGTGACTCAGCTTCACGTGTTGGTGACTCAGCTTCACGTGTTGGTGACTCAGCTTCACGTGTTGGTGACTCAGCTTCACGTGTTGGTGACTCAGCTTCACGTGTTGGTGACTCAGCTTCACGTGTTGGTGACTCAGCTTCACGTGTTGGTGACTCAGCTTCACGTGTTGGTGACTCAGCTTCACGTGTTGGTGACTCAGCTGCACGTGTTGGTGACTCAGCTTCACGTGTTGGTGACTCAGCTGCACGTGTTGGTGACTCAGCTTCACGTGTTGGTGACTCAGCTGCACGTGTTGGTGACTCAGCTTCACGTGTTGGTGACTCAGCTGCACGTGTTGGTGACTCAGCTTCACGTGTTGGAGACTCAGCTTCACGTGTTGGTGACTCAGCTTCACGTGTTGGTGACTCAGCTTCACGTGTTGGTGACTCAGCTGCACGTGTTGGTGACTCAGCTGCACGTGTTGGTGACTCAGCTTCACGTGTTGGTGACTCAGCTGCACGTGTTGGTGACTCAGCTTCACGTGTTGGTGACTCAGCTTCACGTGTTGGTGACTCAGCTGCACGTGTTGGTGACTCAGCTGCACGTGTCGGTGACTCAGCTTCACGTGTTGGTGACTCAGCTGCACGTGTTGGTGACTCAGCTTCACGTGTTGGAGACTCAGCTTCACGTGTTGGTGACTCAGCTTCACGTGTTGGTGACTCAGCTTCACGTGTTGGTGACTCAGCTGCACGTGTTGGTGACTCAGCTGCACGTGTTGGTGACTCAGCTTCACGTGTTGGTGACTCAGCTGCACGTGTTGGTGACTCAGCTTCACGTGTTGGTGACTCAGCTTCACGTGTTGGTGACTCAGCTGCACGTGTTGGTGACTCAGC